CCTGTGACCGGCGAGAGTTGGCCAATGACCCTCGACAGGCTTGAAAGAATTGGTGCAATCGAGTAATTTTGTTAATTCTGTCCAACTTAGCTAAAGGAAAATGCTAACCTTGATTTTTTTAAATATTTTCTCTTACCTACGTGACGATGACATGGTTAAAACATGAAACATAAGACTTCAATGACGTAGTTTTGATTCAAATATGTATTTTGATACAAATTTTATTTAAATTAAATTAAAACATAAGCTAAATAAAGAGAGAGAGAGAGAGAGTTTCGATAGACCCTCGTCGCCACCACCCCCATCGTCGCTTGGAAGAGTCAGCGAGGGTGGGGGATGGCTGGGCCCCGGCCCTTCCCGGTGATGGTGTGGGCGGCAGCCCTTGCGGCTTGATTTTTTAAAAATCTCTCTCTCTCTCTCTCTCTCTCTCATAAATTTAGCTTATTTTTTAATTTAACTTAAATAAAAATTATATTAAAAATTAGATTTAGAACAAAACGACGTCACCGCCACATAGGATAGAGAAAATAATAAATAAATGAAAAGCCATGACAGTATTTTCCGTCAGTCAAGTTGGACGGAGTTAACTGAAGGACTCGATTGCACAAATTTGACAAATTTTTAGAACTTGATTGTAATTTTTGTAAGCTTTAAGACTCAATTGCAATTTTATAACAAGTTTTAGGATTTTCAGTGTACTTATCCCTCGTTGAAAATGCTTAAGCAAGCATGAATCAATGTTGACCATGGTAGAATTGCACGAAGGAATCTGTGGCACACATGAGGTTGGAATAAAGATGAAGTGTTAATTGCATCTGCATGGCTATTTTTGGCCTATAATAACTGAAGACTATATTAATTACGCAAAAGAATTAAGTCATGTCAAGTAAATGGACCGATTTAGCATGTTTCGACATCGATATAAATCTCATTGTTCAACCACGACCATTTAGATGTTGGAATATGGACATTGTCGGTAAAATATATCATCCATCGACCAAGAGGCATAGTTTTATTTGGGTTGCAACCAATTATTTTATGAAATACGTTGAGGCGGCATCCTATAAAAATATCACTCAGAAAACAATGAAAGAGTTCATAGAAGAGAATATAATCCATCGGTTTTGTATTCCTGAAACAATAACTACCGATCAAGAGATGTGTTCACTGGAAAAAAAAAAAGGTGTTATATTTTAAGGATAAGTACACTAGAAGTCCTAAAACTTATCGCAAAAGTGCAATCAAGTCTTAAAACTTTTAAATAGTGCAAATAAGTCCTAAAACATGTCAAATTGGTGCAATCAAGTCATTCCTTTAAAATTAACTAACGGAAATGCTGAAAAGACTTTTTTTTTATTAAAAAATAACTTATTAATTTGAAAAAAAATGTCTTCTTTATATTTAAGAAAGAATACATGAGTTCCATCAACAGGCTTTGATGTTGGGATTGCTCAGCGAAGACACTAATTTCCACTCCTCCTCCCTACACTCCTCCACACTCCTCCAGGCAAACGCCGCCAAGAACTTCTCGTTCTACCGCCCTCCCACCGCAGATGCCGCCACCGCAGGCTGCATAGATTTAATTAGTCACCGGAGACCAAATATTCAATGTAGGTTGAGTATTTGAAGAAGGTGGTGGTCGAAAGAGCTCAAGCCGGCTGGGGAGGGAAGATAATAGCCAGCAGCTTTTTCATTTTTTTAATCTATTATTTTTTATTTTTTTGCAGATGTGGTATTAAGTGGGAAAAGTAAATAAAAAAATAGTCATAAACCTTTTAATTGAATCAATTTAGTACTAAACATTTATACATTAGTATCAATTTAGTTCGTTCGGCCAATTTAGACCGGAAATTGCTGGCGTGGACACCGACCGCCTTATATGGCACGACCGACGCTGACGTAAACATATTTTAACTTTTAAATATTTTTTTGAACATTTTTTGTTCTTTTTTCTTCTCTTTTTCCTTCTTTTCTTTTTTTCTTTTCTCTTTTTCCTCTCTTTTTTATTTATTTCTTATTACTTTTCGCTAGTCAACGAAGGTCGCCGGCGTGAGTGATGGCCGGAATGCCCTCATCGGATCTAGCGCAGGGCGGCCACCCAGCCCTCGCCAAGGGCCGGGGAGGCCCCTGGCGACGGCAGGGGGGCAATTTTAGATCATAAGAAAAAATGAGGAACAACAACAAGAAGCCAAAGAAGAAGAAGAAGAAGAAGAAGAAGAAGATTCTCAAGCAGGCGAGAGAATGAAGCACACACGTTAGAAAGAGAGAGAGAGAGAGTCATGGTTAATGGTGTTTAAGGATTGTCCGTGAAATCACAAGCTTCACATCAGATCCCGGAGGAGAGAGGGAGCCTCATTCAAGCTTCGAATGTGCCTGACGAACCCTAAAACGAAGGATTTCACTTTGGGGGCTGCCTAAACATCTGGGCGAGAACCAGCCCTCGCTGAGTCGCGGCAGATGAGGGTTGGGCGAGGGTCCCCTTGCCAAATCTTGCAAGGGGCCTTGCCGCCATCGCTAGGCCGACCGGTGGAGGGTAATAAGGAAGAAAGAAAAAAAAATGTAAAAGAGAAGAAAAAAAGAAAGGGAAAAAGAAGAAAAAATCAATAAAAAAGTATTTAAAAATTAAAAAATGTCCATGTCAATGCCGGCTGTACCAAGTAGGACAGCCGGTATCCACGTTAGTAATTTCTAGCCTAAATTAGCCGGGTGGACTGAATTGGTACCAATATAAAAATATTTAGAACAAAATTGGTCCAATTAAAAAGGGGAGAAGGACACTAGAATTGCAAAAAGTTGAGTACGGCGCTTACTTTAGGGTCAAAAGTTCCTTTTGGATCACTTAAGTATCAATTTTTTTTTAAAACGATTATTTCAGTGCCAACTCCGATCTGTAATTTGGCAAGAAATCTAACATAGCTTTTTTTTTATTAGTTTCTTAAGCTAATGTGGCTCACCGAAGAGTCCAATCAGCATCCAAACCCTAAAACGACGCCGTCTAGTACCTTTCCCTTAAATAAGAACCCTAAATCCCCAAATTGAAAGAGAACCCCCCAATTTCAAACCCTAACCGGTCGTTGAACCCAAATTCATTCCCTATTTCGGTTTGCCCCCAAAATTATCAGCTTAATCTTGCAATCCCTACTACCGTCATCCACATGACATTACCAAGAACCCTTTTCCCTCCCTTCGAGCCCTAATTTTGCCTTTGGAGCCCTTATATTGCCCTCAGAGCCCTAATTTTTCCAATCAATTGAGCAAGGGAGAGAAGATGATAAACCTGAGTGAGCGACGGTGCTAGTGAGCGACGGTGAGCAAGGGCGAGCGAGCAAGGAGGAATTTGTAGTGTTGCGTAGGAACAGTAACTCGAAACCCCAATTTTGATTCGCTTGGTGTGACGTAGTTTTGGCCAGAGGCTGAGCGACGTCGTCTCTTTTCAATGAGCCCCGGAGGTCGAAAATCCAACGTCGTTTTTGTACTCCACGTGGACTTAGTTGTTAAAAAAATATACCACTTCATATTTTTTGTAATTAAAAAAGCCACGTAATCAATTTGGCCAGAATATCTCATCGTTAGCACTTAAGTGATTATTTTTTCTCCAATTTGACACTTAAATTATCGGTGAAAATTTTTGGAACTAAAGTGAGCATCGTACACAATTTTTAACACTTCTAGTGTCATTCTCTCAATTGAAAAATTTAGCACTAAATTGGTATCGATGAAATAGGTTTATAACTTTTTTTGTAGTTTTACCGGCATTAAGTAGACGCCATAGAAGCTCCATGTTTCTTGAGAAAGTAATAAAAAAAGTCATGTCAGTATTTTTCATTGGTTTAATTGATGGAGTTGACGGAGGAACTCGATTACACCTAACAAGTTTAAGAACTTGATTGCACTATTTAAAAGTTTTGAGACTCAATTGCATTATTACGATAAGTTTTAAGACTTCTAGTACACATGCCCTTTTTATTAGTAATCTATATTTTCATCTTCATGCACATTAACCATTTCCAGTACTTTTACATTTTAGCGTTTGCATTTTATCTTTACTTTATAAGCTAAGCCATTTCCTATCCAAGATCATCACCGAACCCATTTCCATAAAAAACCAAAAAAAGAAAAAATCAAACTTTTGGCGAAATGTTTTTCATCGTGTAGGTAAAATTCCCATTTACGGTGAAACGACCAGTTTTCCATGATAGAAAGATACGGAAAGAATCAGGATTATCATTTTTCCTAGTGATTATAATTTTATAGACAATCATTTTCACATCGAAATGTTTTATTAAACTTCATACGACTTTTTGTGCCTGTTCAAAGATGTTTTGTCCAGTGTACATGGATCAATGCGTGTAATAGAGGCCTGAATAAGGAAATTTTTTTGAAGAGATAAATCAATAGGAAAAATATACATTCAATCCTTATCCCTATATTATGTTTTTTTCTATAATAAGTCATCAAATGATTCCTTTCTTTCATGCAATTTCCTTCTATTTTATCCAATTACAAAGAAATGACAACCCATGCGAAATTAAGAAAAGTTACTGTAAAAGATGAATTTCGCTTGTGCGCTTTGACTTAAATGGGCAAACTTTATGATCCGCCTATTTAATTTCTTGCCTGAAATTCTTAAATCTACGCATACAGAAACAAAAACAAATGTAGCTCCAGTTCAAAGACTTATCCAGTAAAAGATGCCAATGCGAATTTTAGATGACTCGGTAGTTAGATCAAGTATATATGATAACAAAGAATCCAAGGTAATTACAAAGGGTGATGTGGATTCATGGCTAGTTTGAGTAAGATTCTCGATTTTCTTACCACTTTGAACCTGCAAATTTAAACTCCCATGAACTTTCCATATGAGGTCCAATTAATTATGACGGATTCACGTGCGAGTTCAGTGTGCTCTCTCTCTACAAAAAGCACACCAGCTTGTATCTACGAAAACCACATCCCTGAAAACGCTGTCGCAGTTGAATCAAAGAAGAACCAAATCATCCATGGACAAGGCCAACGAGAAAGAGGTTGTGGTGGCCATTGTTGGCGCGGGCCCTTCAGGCCTCGCGACAGCGGCATGCCTGAACCGCCTCAGCATCGCCAATATCGTTCTCGAGAGAGAGGATTGCTCCGCCTCTCTTTGGAGAAAGAGGTCGTACGATCGATTGAAGCTCCACCTAGCCAAGCAATTCTGCGAGCTCCCCCACATGCCCTTCCCCTCCAATTCCCCCAAGTTTGTCCCTAGGGACCAATTCATAGAATACCTCGACAACTACAAGTCGCGTTTTGAGATAAAGCTGTACTGTCGACGGTCTGTCGAGAGCGCATCGTATGACGATCGAATCGGCAAGTGGCGGATCGTGGCGAGAAACACAGGCTCGGGCGAGGACGAGGTCTACGTCGCGGAGTTCTTGGTGGTGGCGAGCGGGGAGAACAGCGAGGGCGTGATACCGGAGGTTGACGGCTTAGACAGCTTTGGCAGGGCAGCGATGCACTCGAGCGAGTACCGGAAGGGGAGGGAATTCAGAGGGAAAAATGTGTTGGTGGTGGGTTGTGGGAACTCAGGAATGGAGATTGCCTATGATCTGTGGAGCCATGGTGCCAACACTTCCATTGTTGCTCGAAGTCCCGTATGCAAACTCTTTCTATAATTCATGCATTTTTCCTTCTTTAGTACGGGATGGAACTTACAGAATTCTTCATCTTTTTGAGGAAATTCAGTCGTGAGTTGATAGGGGGAATCTCTTGCAACAAACCAGAGAAATTCGAATTGGCAAACGACTTAATGGACATATAATAGAGAGCAAATGAAGGCCTTATTTCTCTTTGATAGCTATAGATAACGGCTAAGTTTTTTCATGAGCTTAATGGCCTAATGACGAGGATTTGCAGGTACATGTTGTTACCAAGGAAATGGTGTTTCTTGGTATGGTCTTGTTAAAATTTCTCCCATGCCGAATAGTTGACACCTTCGTGATACAACTCAGCAATCTAAAATATGGCGACTTCTTCAATTACGGCCTTCGGATGCCGGAAAAAGGTCCGTTCTATCTAAAAGCAGTGACCGGACGATCCCCCACCATCGACGTCGGGGCAATGAAGAGGATCAGGAAGGGAGAAATCAGGGTAAATCAAGGAATTATAGGCTTGTTTTCTTTGAAATTGAGTTTAAAACTTAATCAAAAGCATGTTAAACCTTCTCAAGTTATAATAAAGCAAATGGTGTAGGTTTTCCCCTCCATCAAAAGCATTAACGGGAAGCTGGTCACATTTGTAAATGGCACTACCAGTCAATTTGAGGCCATAGTCTTTGCCACTGGCTACAAAAGCACTGTGCGGAAATGGCTCCAGGTACATTTTCTTTATATTTATCTTTTTTTGGTTAAGCCACTTAATAGTGATTGATTTATCTACATTTGCAACTTTTCCCGTTGAATCTTCATATTATGGTAACTTAATTAGGGTGGAGATGACCTGTTCAACAAAGACGGCATGACCAAGGTCCTGCGCCAATGGAAAGGAGAAAATGGCTTGTACTGCACCGGTTTTGCTCAACGGGGCCTGCTTGGCATCTCTGCCGACGCGCGGAATGTAGCAGATGATATCAGTTTCAAACTTCGATGCGATAGGAAGTGTTCGCGACGGAAATAAGAAGCAATGTTGTCCGTGCAACGATATGCTTGTATTAAAAATAACAAAGGATGTACGATAACGTTGCAGTGTAAATGGAAATCAAGCTTTATCATAGTCAAAATCAACGAAGTCATTCTATTCGTAGATCAGGGATTTGTGAAATTTCGACTTTCTCTTTTGAATTTTCTTTCTCTGATGTTTTGAAATCTGAGCGGTTTCAAGTTGCTTACCCACTATGATCAATGGTACTCTATGCAATAAATTGGTCTAAAAACGAAGTGATCCCTCGAGAAAGTTATATTTTATATATACTTGGCTTGCCTATGTGTCCACTATCAAAACAGGAAAGTTGTCCTAGAAGTTAAAGTACAACCCAAATTGGGAATCCAGGTGATGAAACATATGGCCATGCATTGAATGGGAATGTACCAAGATAGCTTTTTAGTATCAAGTAAATCTGACCAAGTACATTGAACTCGAGGCAAAATAAATGTTCTATATGGCCAAATTTTGATTTGCAACGGCTTACTTGCCCATTATTGGGATCAAAATAAGATCTGTGGCAATCTAATACTAGCAAAAATGATTTGACAACCTCTTAAAACAAACACACACACACACACACACTCTCTCTCTCTCTATGGAAAAGACAAATTTTACATTCCTTATTGAGGTCGTGCGAAGCCATGTCCATGTTGTTCAGACCCTAGTGAGAAAATAATTTATACACTTGTCTCAAAAAGAAAAATCTCAAGAAATGCATTTTTTATTAAATGCACATAGAACAAAAGGTGAAAAGGCGCAATTTCTGCCTAGTATTTGTACTCTTCGAAGGACAAGACGGTTCACAAGACATACTAGTTGTGGACGAGAAAATTGTCTAAAAATCATAAACTTATTACACTTTTACGTTTTCAATTATAAGCATTTCAATGTTACAAATCGAGTTCTAAACATTTTCACCTTATGCCAATTGAGTTCATCCGTCCAGTTTTGGCCGGAAATTGCCGACATGGACACTGGTCATGCCACATGGGGCGGCTGGCGCTAACGTGCACAATTTTTAATAATATTTTCATATTTTTTGAATTTATTTATTTATTATTTTCTTTTTCCTTTTTTTCTTTTATTTATTTATTTTTTCTTCCCTTCTTTCTCTTTTAGCTGATCGCTGGGCGTTGGCGATGGCTGACGACCGATCAGAGGTGAGGACCGGCAAGGTCGACCTCGCTAGTGGCCGGCGGGGCGAGCTTCGCAAAATTCTTTGGCCCAACGATCGGCTAAAGGAGGAAGAAGGAAATAAAAAAAAACGAAAAAGAGAAAGAAAAGAAAATTTGAAAAAATATTATTAAAAATTATCGACGTTAACGCCGGCCACGCTACATAGGACAACCAGCATCCACATCAGCGATTTTCGGCTAAAATTGATCGGATTAACTCAATTGGCAAATTATGAAAAGGTTTAGAACTCAATTAACAACATTAAAAGGTTTAGGACTAAAGTGGCAAAAGTGCAATATGTTCAAGACTTTTTGAACAATTTTTTCAGTTGTGGAGACGTGGCAAATTTAAAGGGGGCGATAGAAAAAAGCCAAAGGTAACCGTTAGTGTGCGTGTGAAAGAGAAAATAGTACGTAGGCTCGTCCCTTTGAATCCTCATAAGCAAAGATGACCCTTTTAAATATTTTAAAAAAATTGAAAATCAATAAAGATAATTCATTTTTTTAGAAAAGGGCATATGTTTAAAAAATACTAATCAACTCTTTATAATTGATAAATAGTGACGGTCGATCGATTAATCGAGTTTGGTTAATAAGACTGGCATGGGGCAAATCGACAAGTACTGTGGCTTGATTATCGATAACTACAGGACGTTCATCGATAACCATGCGGTATAGTTATCAAAGAAGGGTGAAGGACAATCAACAAGTATCGAGATTCAGCGATAAAACTTATGGATGGCCTATTATCGTGAAATTAATCAAGTGTTGGATATAGGGGAAAGAAAATGCATGGACCAAAGATGTCGAATGAAGGCACCAGCGCGAAGTGACGGTTAAATATCTCGGTGGTTTTAAAAGTTGTAACCGCTTAACGATAAGGTCGACATGCAAATGGGGAGTCTTGAATCTTGGGAAGTGTTCGACCAAACAAAAATTCTGGGAAGTGCACTAGTAACTACTTGTAAGTGGTTTTAATTAGTGGATTATAAATATAGGCGGCGTGTAATCACGGGGATCATCGTCACATACACAACCTCCCAAAGGTTAGGCGGGATCATCGTCAAAGGCACGACATCCCTAGAGCTTCTAACCAATGTATTAGTAATTTGTTTTTTCCATCTTCATGCACGTTTACCATTTCTAGAACTTTTACTTTACGAGCTTGCATTTTATCTTCACTTTAGAAGCCAGACCATTTCCCTAAAAAAAAATTCAAAAAATCTACTTTCGGTGAAAGGTTTTTCACTATGCAGATAAATCCCCGTTTTTGGGGAAACACGTGTTGTCCGTTATGGAAAGATACAAGGTAATTTTACACTAAAGAATCGGATTACCATTATTCCTAGTGACAATAATTCTATCGATAATCATTTTTACATCGAAAAGTTTTATTAAACTTCACGGGACTTTTTGTGCCCGTTCAAAGGTTTTTTCTTGAGTATACAAGGATTGATGTGTGTAAGAGAGACCTGAATAAGGAAAAAAATTTAAAGAAGTATATCAATAGGAAAAAAAAATCCATTCAAAAGGGTCTACTTTGGGTAAAAGAATTCAATGCGTAACTTATATTTTTCCTATAATAAGTCGTCACATGATTGCTTTCTTTAATGCAACTCCTTTAATATTTTTTCCAATTACGAAAAATAACAACCAATGCCGAATTAAGATAAGTTCCTATAAAAGAAAAATTTTGGATACGGATTCCCATGTACGGCACGTAGATTGACATTGCCGAGTCAAGTACAAGGTAAACGTATAAATTAGGAGAACTAAATGTGGTACACAACTCCGTTTGGAGAATGAAATCTGGCATTTATGAATGTCCGTACATTAGACAATTATTTCGTCGTATGTGATGCAGAATCTATTAGTGGTGCGTTTCTGGACCGATTGGACAGGCAGAAGTCTAAACGGAAGGCGAAACGGTGATGCGACTAGAACTAGCGAACCCGGTTGACGACATCGAATCGGGCTCAAATTCGGTCGTTTGAAGCAAAACGGTGATCTAAACACAACTCACGGTCTCGTGACTAATGACGGATTTTAGCGATTCGGGATCGTTTACACGGGTTTTTCTATTATTTTAATATTTTTTATGGGTTTTAATTTTTAGGGCAGTTTTGTAATTTTGATATTTTATGCTTTATAGTCCTAGTAAGGTTTGGTTTAGGGATATATATAAGCTTGTTTTAGGGTTCTTTTTGAAGAACAGAACATTATTATCAATATTGAATTTCGGGATTTCTCTTCCTAAGCAAGGTTTTGCTTGAATTACTCGCTGAACGCTGCGTCAGTATGGACTTATTCCCAACAAGACAAGTTCTAAAGAAGAGTCAAGCTGGATAGTATAGTTCTGAAGTGATGTTCATACTCTTTAACTTTTTTTTTTTTGGTCGGATACACTTAACTTTTTTTGGTTTTTTTGGTCAGAATCGGATACACTTAACTTAAATGGCCAATCTTTACCTGCCTATTCGATTTCTTTCTAGAAAATCAACACTGAATATAATAAAGAATCCAAAGTACTGTCATATTAGGAAGAGGATTAATGGCGACTGTTTAAGATTTTCCATTTTTTACAACATTGGACCTGCCAATTTAAACTAAGATGTACCTTTCTATATTAGCTAAAATTAATTTTGACATGTGCGTACAAGGGCGTACAAAAAGCGCACGAGCTTTTATCTGCCAAAACCACATCCCTGAGAACACTATCGCTGCTGAATCAAAGAGAACCAAATCATCCATGGACAAGGCCAACGAGAACGGGGTTGTGGTGGCCATTGTTGGCGCTGGCCCTTCAGGCCTATCGGCAGCGGCATGCCTGAACCGCCTTGGCGTCGCCAATGTCGTGCTCGAGAGAGAGGATTGTTCTGCCTCTCTTTGGAGAAGGAGGTCGTACGATCGATTGAAGCTCCACCTGGCCAAGCAATTCTGTGAGCTCCCCCACATGCCCTTCCCCTCCAATTCACCCACCTTTGTCCCTAGGAACCAATTCGTCGAATACCTCGACAACTACAAGTCGTATTTCGAGATCAAGCCGTATTACCGACGGACCGTCGAGACCACGTCGTACGACGACCGAATCGGCAAATGGCGGATCGTGGCAACAAACATGGGCTCGGGCGAGCAAGAGGTCTACGTGGCGGAGTTCTTGGTGGTGGCGAGTGGGGAGAACAGCGAGGGCGTGATGCCGGAGGTTGATGGCTTAGAGAGCTTTGGCGGGGAGGCAATGCACTCGAGCAACTACCGGAATGGGAAGGAATTCAGAGGAAAAAACGTGTTGGTGGTGGGTTGTGGGAACTCAGGGATGGAGATTGCATACGATTTGTGGAGCTATGGTGCCAACACTTCCATTGTTGCTCGAAGTCCCGTATGCAGACTCTTTCTATAATTCATGCATTTTTCCTTCTAAGTTGGTGATAGATCAACCATCTTTATGAGATTTATTCAATTTCATGCATGCAAGGAATGCGCTAGCATTAGTTGCCTATTTCTTTCATAGTTCATTTAGAATATATGCCGACACAAATGACTGGGAACGGAGCGAGAGGATGACATGCTTGTCAATGAACATTATAAAATGTTCATGAGGTTATATGACCCGTTAAGTGGCGAATAAATTTGACACTATCAACAATAAATCTCATATAGTATTTGCTCCCCATATATTCAAATAATCATATTCTATAAATAACAAGTATAAGCTAATAAAGAGGATTTGCAGGTAGAAGTTGTTACCAAGGAAATGGTGTTTATTGGCATGGTTTTGCTAAAATTTCTTCCATACCGAATCGTCGACCTCTTGATGAGGCTACTTAGCAAGCTAAAGTATGGTGACTTCTCCAAGTACGGCCTTCGGAGGGCGGAAAATGGTCCGTTCCATCAGAAAGCAGCGACCGGGCCAACCCCCACCATTGACGTCG